TTGAAGAAATGTTCAATTAACGCCTCTCGAGCAGCTAAGCCGCTCGAAGGTTGAAGACTTTGAATATTCCATACTGGCACTTCAAGTTGTCCGTTTGTTTCTTCGTCCTCGTTTCTTTCTGGCAACATGACCCTGCATATGAGTGACATGTTGTACAGCACGGTGCATATTTCGCACTGGTCACTACCCTTCGACTAGCCTGAGACAAGCCTTCGTTTTCAAACGCCAAAGGTACGTTCAACAATGTAACTCGTTCTAGCATGGGTATTATTATATCTGTAAGTATACAACAATGAATGAATCCAATTCTTCTGTCATACTCAAAAACTTGTTAACTGTAGCATACAAGATACTAAGGCTATTCCTTCATCTGTTCTGGCATCTGCGAACGGGGTCAATAAGAATGGCAAACAGGGATATCCCCTGTCACCAACCAGCATCACATCCAATTTCGTCTCCACAGAGAGACGAGAGTTCTGGAATATCCGGCAATAGTTCGCACTGCCTGGCCATTCTGGGCCCAACAACCGCCCGTAATAAGGTTTATAATTGAAGAATGCAATCATATAATTGCTCAACCATAATGTTGTACTAAAAACATGTATGAAAACATACTTGCACATTCAGTGAGAAGTATCTTTTTCGATTTCTAAAGACTTCATCCATATTGTTCATCCTTGTTGACACGCGTGACTATTCGGGAAATCGTGGGCTGCGAGATGTCCGAGGATCGACTGTAAATAGTTTTTAAACGGTTTCCTCAATAAACACTCGTTAATTCTTAATACTGTAGACATGAAAGTAGAATAGTTACATATAAATTACCTGAAAACTTGCACTTGCATAATATCGCAAAAACAGGAACAATTGCAACTGTGGCGGAATTGGCAGACCACGGTTATTGAATTTCTTCAATTCGTCAAGGATTTTCAGTGAAATACCATGTAATACCGATTCGTTAGTGAATCGGTACCGTCTTTTAAATTCCAATCCATCGTAATATTCAAATGGATTTGTCTATCACGAATATACCTCTTTACGTTCGCATTATTAATTAAGTCCATGTTGCTGTCTTCAACGTCATCGATATTTTCAACATTTTCGATGTCTTCCATATACTCAATTTGTATTTCGTTCGACGCAAGATCCACTTTTTCCGTACAACTACGCTTCCAAACGCTTAACGGCTCACTAACACTAATGCTCACGTCCTGTACGTGACCTGTCCGTGTGGTCATAAGT